CTAAGAACCGACTTGCATGAGAAAAGATTAATAGAATAACACCAAGATAAAGCAGATGCCAGAATTAAAGGTATTTAAAAATAATCAAGCAATTGTAAAGGAAGTAAATGAAAAATCAGAAACCTTCAGGAGCAATAAGGGAAAAAAAAGAAAGAACCAAACAGGAATTACACAACTGAAAAATACAATAGCCAAAATAAAAAAATGGGGCTCAAGTAGAAAGCAAATGTTTTGAGAATGATGAGGGCAACAAATGTGCAAATGTGCTTGACACAATGGATGGATGGATGGATTGTGATAAGAGTTGTAAGAGCCCCCAACAAAATGATTTAAAAAAACCAAACAAACAAAAAAATAAAAAATGCTGGTTGATGGGCAAAATAATAGAATAGAGATGAGAGAGGATATAATCAGTGAACTTCAGGTCTTATCAATAGGATTTACCTAATCTAAACAATGGAGAGAAAAGAGACTGGAAAAAGAAGAATCTTAGAGATCTGTGTAGCAATAATAAAAACAGCAAAATTTGAAGTCCCAGTAGGAGAGGAGAGTGACTGAAAAAATATTAAAAAGAATAATGACTGAAGATTTTTTACATAAACCTACAGATCCAAGAAACTGAGTGAATTCAAGGAAACATATGCCAAGATACATCATAAAAAGATTTCAGAAAACTTCAGAAAAATATATATATTTAAAACAAATTTAAAAAGAACTGACCCCACTACACCGAGGTAAAATACTAAGGGTGTGCAACAGAATAGCAAGGCGAGCAGTGCAATGAAGTCCCCGGGGAATACCAAAAATAGACTGTGGGCCAGGACATGGCACCCCATCAGACTTGACTGGAAAACACTCATGAAGGTCAACAAACAGACCTCGAACTATTTATAGGCCTTTCTTTTTTTAAAAAATTATTGTTTTGTTTTGCTCTGCCTTGTTTTTGTGCTTATCATTGTCTTCGCATGTCTATCTAGATAAGACAGGCTAGGCGGGATAAACAATCCAGAAGAGAAAACAACGGACTGATGGTTGGGGTGTGTGGGGACATAGGAGAGAGAGAGGCAGGAGAAAGGAAGTGGGTGTTAACAAACCCAGGGACAAGTAAACAACACGTGATCTAAAATCAATGATGGCGAGGAGGATGTAGGAGGTCTGGTAGAGCTTGATCAAGGGCAATGTAACTGAGAGGAATTACTGAAACCCAAATGAAGGCTGAACATGATAGTGGACAAGAAGGAAGTAAAAGGAAATAGAGAAAATAACTAGGAGGCAAAGGGTATTTATAGAGGTCTAAATACAGGCATGTTCATATGTAAATATGTTTATATATGATGATAGGGAAATAGATCTATGTAAATATATTTATATGTTTAGTATTAAGGTAGCAAATGGACATTGGACCTCTACTCAAGTACTCCCTCAACACAAGAACACTTTGTTCTATTAATCTGGCATTCCATGATGCTCACCTTCCTGACAAGATCGCTGAAGACAAAAGTGGGTGCTTAAGCAAACGTGGTGAAGAAAGCTGATGGTGCATGGCTATCAAAAGATATAGTGTCTGGGGTCTTAAAGGCTT